GGCAGGTGACAGGGACAGGGCAGGTGACAGGGACAGGGCAGGTGATGGGACAGGGGGGTCGTGGGGACCCCCTGGCAGCCCCGGCCTCACCTGCTGGGACAGGTTGAGGCATCGGACGAGCCAGCGCCGGTACCACGTCCCGGTGTCCGACTGGATCTCGATGAGCTCGTCCTCCCGCTTGATGGTCTTGATGTGTGTGACCTGGGGGGGGGGGACAAGGCAGTTTGGGGACACCGAGATGCACCAGCCACGGCCCCGCCCCACCTTGGATCTCAGTTTTTATCCCCATTACAGCAGCTGCTTTTATCCCAGAGCTGGGAATTGCAGCCCCTGCTCCTGGAGGAACCCCCCACCCCCTCCCACCCTGGGGACCCCGGGGCTCAGCCCTGGGGGGGGTCCTTACCGAGAAGACCCTCTCGGGGTGGCCCTTGGCCCTCATGTTGGTGTCGTGGACCTGCTTCAGCACCATCCAGGCCTCATCATGCTTCCCGTTCTGTGGGGCAGCACCGGGTCACCCGGGACATTTGGGACATCCAGGACACCCCAGGACACCCCAGGACATCTCAGGACATCCCAGGACACCCCAGGACATCCCAGGACACCCCAGACCCGGACATGGACACAGACATGGACCTGGACCACCCCCCTGCAGTCCCCACCCCGCCCCACTCCTTGTGTGGGTCCCTCCACCATCTTCATCACCTCCCACCACCCGCCTGGGGGTCCTCACCCGAGTGCCCCCCATCTGCGCCACCCCCTCGGGGTCCCTGATGCACCCCCAGCCCCCCTCCCCGGGCACAGCCGTGCCCACCCCGTGCCCCCACCTCCAGGTAGAAGCGGGGGCTCTCGGGCATGGTGGTGAGAGCCCCGATGGCGAAGACCGAGGGGAAGGCGCAGACGAGGACGAAGACCCTCCAGCTGTGGAACTGGTAGGCAGAGCCCATCTGGAAGCTCCAGCCTGCGGGGACAGCAGGGGACACGGTGCCAGGGCTGGAACCCGGCACACTCCTCACCCTCCACCGGCCACAGCGGGGTGGGGGGGGGTCCTACCGTAGTGGGGGATGATGGCCCAGGCCATGGCCGAGGCGTAGATGCCCCCGATCATCCAGAACATGCAGAGCCAGCTCAGGTGCTCCCCGCGCTTCTCCTGCGCCAGGAACTCCGAGAAGTAGGAGAAGACGATGGGGATGGAGCCGCCGATGCTGGGGACGGAGGGCAGCGGCGTCACCCCCCGCCCCCTGAGCCGGCTCAGCCCCCGCCCCGGGGGTCCCACGCGCGGCCGGGCCCCCCTTACCCCACGCCCGAGAGCAGGCGGCAGAAGAGGAAGGTGCCGTAGCCCTGGACGAAGGAGGAGAAGAAGGCGAAGACGCTGTTGACGGAGAGGGAGATGAGGAGGCACTGCCTTCGGCCCAGCCGGTCGGCCAGCCCGCCCCACACGAACGCGCCCACCATCATGCCCAGGTACACGATGAGTCCTGGGGAAGGGGGGGACACACGCAGAGGGGTCACTCCTGGGACCCCCAGCCCGACTCACCCGGCACTGGAGGCGTGGGGTGGGCAGGGACCCCC